GAACACATTATTTCCATTATTAAAGCTAGAATACACTGCAAAAACTGCTTTATATTTATACAAATCAAACATAAAGAGACCCTAAAGTTAAATGAACCACTCTGAGGAACCTGAGTGCACTTCAATAAAGAGGAAAAGGAAATCTTTTTTTCAGTCTATAAAAACAGGTTGTACATGCATTGTTATTTATTAATAACGTGAGAGTATTCATCAGTGATCTAACAAGTTTATTTGGTTTCTGTTTCCCTTTCTAAACTCTATTGCTTCCCACTCACATGCCCATTCATTGCAGTAGAAATGTTGAGGTCATTGTGTCAGGTCCATTCCTGGACTTCTGAAAATGAAATGGGAAGTAAATATTTGTCCTTTTAGATTATGTAAGGCCTTGATGAATGGGCTTGTGTTTTAAATGTTATGCCATCTGTGCATTTGTGAACTTCTGAAAGGCCTGTGACTTCAACTTCATTTCTCATTAAGGCTTAACATCAGTGCCATGTGTCAGGAATAAATGCTGTCTATGTGCTTCAAAACTAGGTGTTAGTTTATGAGCGGTATGTGTATGAGTATTCAGTATGAGCGAAAGTCCCTTCCATTACTTATTTTATTTCTTAAAATCAGGAAAATAACAGATGACATAACAGAAAATTACACAGAAGCATCAACAACCTCTTGTAATCCCATCTTATTTAGTGTTACAACTTCCATTCTTTTTGGGAAATCCGCTTTTGTTTTTTTTAAAAGAAATCTGCAGGGATATTTTTCTACACCTCCAAAGTTCAGGTTAAGACATTTGTTGTATTTTCTGCTTCTCACGATCCAATAATCCCAAACACATATTCAATGATGTTGAGATCTGGACTCTGGACAGATCTCCACTCAAAAAAAATTAATTTAGTAGAGTTGGCATATACAGACTTTGTTACCTCAACATAAAATGCAATGGCAATGTCAATATATTTTCAGTCAAACAACCCCTTTCATTCATTTTTGAATGTAACTATGTCAGCAGTGATGGGCTTGGGCTTATTGCAAGTTCCAATGAAAGCCTGAGTTACTGCACAAATTGATTTTGTAGAATTTCCATCATTGTACATAGAGACTCCGATATTCCTAGAATTCCGTAATGATTTGATTTCCTCATCTGAAAACTTGGTGAAATATCATGCTCTTTTATTGTGGTTAGCTGTGCATGTGCTAAACAGAGGAAGTGAGACTGCAGCCATGTGTAAGTCATTCACTGAGATAGCCTGTGTGTGTTGCTTTTTACGTCACCAGCTGCCTTTACAGAAAGAATATTACGTGACTGTATGGCTTGAGCTGCCCCACTAAATTCCCTTCAGTAGGATTGATACAGTTAGATTAATAACTGTCAAAAAGTACAGTGACAAAAATACCAGTGAATTAGTATTTTCTCACACTATCATTATGATATGATATATGACCTTCCCATCTTATCGACTGTGAGCTTAGCAAGGAGGGACGGGGGAAATTTTATTTATACAGTGTCCTAGCATTAGGGATGGATTCAGTCATAACCTTATTAAAGCAATAATATTAACATCCATAAACCAAATAATGTATTAACATTTGATAAATTGTATTTTGTAGTAAGTTCTAAATTAAGTAAGAGTTACATTAAGTAAAAATGATATATTGTTAAAAACAATCTTGGCAATGAGTATGTTTTGCTTGTAAAAACACCTTATATTATTAGAATAGATACAAATAAAGATAAATAAATCAAAATGTAACAATTTCTTATTTTCAAAAATGTAGTCGATATCTTCTAAGTTAGGTTGCAGAACATAGTTCCAGATTTCTCCTTGATGCTCCAGCCATCAAATATCTTTGTTAAATTCTATTTAACCATGAAACATTGATAAGATTACAAATAATGGTGGGCTTCCTTGAGGAGAGGGTTGGAAATTGTTAAACACTTTGACATGTGTAAAATCAATACTAATTATATTAATATCTGTATTTTTTCAAATGTAAGTGTTTTCTGAGCAAATAAATACTTGCTGCCCAGATTCAAATATTATGCAGATATTGTAGTATGCTATACTATACTATATAATAATATGTAGTTATGTATAGTTACACAGTACATAAAGTATATAGTACACTTCAATTAATCTAATATTAATCTGCCTTTTGTACATATTGGCCTTTAATGTCTACATGTGAAATTAACAAAAACATTTATCACGCAAGTCTTTTGATCACAAGACTAATTTTAACAAAACAATAGTCCATATTTATTATAAATAAAATATTAAAATTGCATAAAAAAACAAAATCAAATGAGTTCAACCACAAATCTGTGTTTAATGTATGATCTGTTAAGTTCTTTAGCAGTGCAAAAAAGTATACTTTTACAACTGATAGACTGCACGTGAGCTCTGTATGTCCTGCACTTACACCTTGGTTGCATCAGAAGAGGTAATGTGTTTGTAACCAGTTGCAAAAAACAACTGTTGTTATGTTTAAGAGACCAGTCATAGCAAATTTTTACTTTCTGTTTTGTTTTCTGGGTTTCCACCATCACAGAGATTTAAAATAGGTGCTTTTCACATGTTCCGTAACTTCGTCTCAGACATCTTTTTTCACATTTACTTGAGCTGTGGGAGTCCACCTAACTGTGCATGCTCATCATCAGTAGTATAACAGTACATCAGCTATCTGACTGGCAAATGTATGGAAAATAACCTTAGAGTTGCCAAAACTAACAATATGTTACATTGTTCAACATTAAAAATGTACTTCAAATGTTTAAGTGCTACTAACTTTCACATATTGTTGCTGTCGCAATTTTATGAAAATTACAAAAGTAAAAAAAGTAATTTTGTACTAAGTCTGCTGGTCCATTCATCATAACATTTTTACATATTATAAAGGGCAGATGGTATTTTTAAATGATTTAAAAATGTAATACCAATATGAATCTTAAACAATGTGAATCTTAAATCTTGTAGTCGAATAGTTTGATTTGTTATATGCTCTGGGTTACTAACCTTAATTTCTTGAACCCGGCAACAGGGTGTTGGGCGCCCAAGACTCTGTTGGAAAAAGATAAGCTGGTGGAGAGAATCTGATGCTCTTGGCAATGTTCTGCTGAGAAACCCTGGGTCCAGGCATCAATGTGGGTGTCAGCCTTTGCTGTCTAGATAAACCCCTTCATCATAATGATACTCCTCGATAACAGTGGCCTCTTTCACCAGGATAACGCACCCTGCCACAGTGCAAACATTGTTCGGGAATGGTTTGAGGGACATGATGAAGGGTGCAAGGTGTTGCCCTGACCTCCAAATTCCCCAGATCTCAATCTGATCAGGCATCTATAGGATGTACTGGAACAAGAAGTCTGATTTGCGGTGGCTCCACATACAACGTACAAGATCTGCTGTCTTGCTGCCAGATACCACAGGGCATCTTCAGCGGTCTTGTAGAGTTCGTACCTCAGCAGATTGGAGCTGTTTTGGTCGCACACGGAGGACCAACAGCACATTAGTTCATCGGTTTATGTGTATATATTAATGATAAATGAATGAATAGAAAGGTAAAGCTAAGCAAAATTAAAACTACATGTAATTGAATTATATTTGTATAAAATTAGCCACAGTGCAATTTAAACTGTAGTATACTGTAGTGGTGTAATGACTTGATTCATGATTTGATATTCTCACAATATTTTGAACTACATCTGAAAGAAGAAAAATGATAACTGCGTCCATGTTGTTGCTTATATCTTAATAATGACACTAGAGTTTGGAGGAAGGAGGAGCAGTGTTGGAACTATGACACTTTCAAACAATGTGTAAACAATAGACAGCATAGTTAATAAAATTTCTATTCTCTTACTTTTTTTTTGCATCACATTGTCTAGTATACAGAAATATAGACTTCCCTATTTTATAATCCCAAATGACTCTCTAATGGAGAGCAGTGCTAAAGGTTGATGATACATCAGTGACATCATTCAAAGCAGATGTCCAACCTTTGGCTATTCCATGTATGATTTCACTGATGAGCAAGACTGGATTGTTGTTGCTGTAACAATACATGGAATTTCACTTTCTTTATGATTTTTGACAGGATTCTATTTGATTTTTGACATTGTGTATTGAAAAGGTCTTGATTCTACAGCGTTCTTATTATATACTACACAGACTGGTTTGGTTAAAAACAACTTTATTTCAAAATAATAGATTGTATTGTGGAAAATAATTACTTTATTAAACAGTGTAAATACTAAAATAAAACCTTTATATGTCTATAATTTTCAACCCTCCATAATTGAACATCCACATCAACATGTCACAAAAACACAATAAATATATAATACGCAAAATTTTAAATGACTACGTTATGGACAGACAGGGTGCTATTGGTACTATTCTATTGGAAATGATAGCAACAGTGTACTTTTCCATTGTTCCATGGCAATCAGAGTGCACTTGCCTATACAGGGAGCCGGGAACTACCTGAGATCCAGCCTAGGGTCATTTCCATATATGCCCAGTTGAAGGAGAATTACACCTATTTTTCACAATTTCTGCATACTTTAATCACTGACATGTAAACAAAGTCATTCGGAGTGGTTTGATGTGAAATGGATTTCTTTATAGTGGTGGCGATACGAATCAGGGGTTGTGATGTCTACAACACACATATAGCCATTTTATTCACTATCCAACATCTGAATGGCTTTTGCTGACATCTTTATTAATAATATGGAAATTCTGGAAAGTAGATGGGTTTCCCCATGAAATGCTTCAGACGTCTGATTCCTATCACCACCACTGTGAACAGTTCTGACTAAGTTTCTCTAGAATGAAGCATTTCACATCAAACCACTCTGAATGACTTTGTTTGCATCTTAATGATTACATTCTAACTAAATTTTGAAAAGTCAGCGGAATTTCCCTTTAATTTACTCCCCAAACCCACCACCACTTCAATATCGGTCCCAAGTTCCTACAGTGGTTCAGTGACCCACACGCAGTAGCCCGTGTCCCGGAAGCAGAGCCCGACCGTGTTGTTTTTGTTTTGAATGGCAGGAGTGATGAGCACAGCAGCCGCAGCTAATCTCCATCGTATTCTCAAAGTATGACCATTAACTCTTCATATATGTCATCTGATGAAACCCGGATCAATCGCACATATTTAACGTTGGGTCCTAGAGTCATTTTTTGGGAAGGAAAAGCAAAAGTGCTAGGGGAAGTGTGCAGCTTTAGCCTGCTAAGCTAGCTAACAGTTAACTGACACCGGATTCAGATGTAGTTAACTGTTATTCGCTCAACGTTAGCCTCAAACTTTTTGACACAGGCAAGTTTTGGTGCAGTGTCAGTGTCAGTGGGTTCTAGCTGTAGAGTCTAAGAGATACCTGATATATCGACTTTGCAAGCTACGGTTTTGTGTTTTTGGTTTGCCATGCACTGCGAAAGTGGGGTTTAACGACGAAGCTGAAATCAGCTTCTTATTCGCCAGGGTCTTGTTCAGAATTTGACGTACCACCTTAAATGGTGCCAGAATGTGACTGCTGCACCATTTAAGGTGGAACGGGAAAGCCTGAATAGGAAGCCAACTTATGCCTCGTATTTTAACGTTATTTTAGCATTTGGCAGTCAAGACTCGCTTGCATTTGTTGGCTTCAGTCACTAGGAACACTAGCTTATGTGTCCCTTTTATTCCTCTTTTCGCTCCACAGTAGCACCGTCCCCATGATGAACTTCGAGGGTTTGGATCCGGGCCTGGGCGAGTATGCGCCGGGCCTGCACGGGACCCTGGAGCCCGGCCTGGATTCGACCCTCGATCCAGCTTTGCTCCAAGGAGTGGAGCTGGACCACGAGGCCCTGGCCGTGCCTGTGTCCGAGTCAGTGCACCTGCTGGAAGGCATGTACTCTGAGCTTCATAGCGTGGCCGCGGAAGTCGGCATCCCTGTAACAGCCTCCCACTTCGACCTACAGGAAGAGCTGCTGTGGATGGGGAACCACCGGGTATGCTGACACACTCGACCACATATAACAATATCCATTGTTGTCAGCGTAACCACGGTTGTGAAAATGCAGGCAGTCTAACCTGACAGTTTGTAAAGTTTCCAGTTCCATCCTCGCCTGGAAGTTACAATCCATTCAAGAGAATTAAGACGCATTGACATCATTAAAAGTGGACGTGCATCCTGTGGAAGAGGTGATGCAGTATCTGGCCATTCCATGTTATTTCACTGATGAGTATTACTAGGTGTTAAGGGTGTAAGGATACACATGATTTCAGGTTCAGTACGATTTTTTATTCTGAGGTCAAGATTCTTTTAGAATCCCCCAGAGTTCTGTTTTCAGTACGTAATGTCATAAAAATGGGTGCAACAGTCAAATTCTTCACACACAAATTGTCAGTCTTTTACTGAATTTTCTTAACCCACCCTTAAGTCTCTCACTGTGTGGGCTGAATGAACACCTGAAACACATTAGCACATTTCCACTGCTTTATATAAGCCGAAGTTGCAACATAAATAATATTATTGCTATTTAACAGCTCAAACTGGAATTTTAAATTCTTAAAGGAGTTTCTGCTAAATAATACAGATCAAAGAAATGGTACATTGTAAGTAAGGAGCAACATGCTGTTTGACATGATAAGTCATGCATAATTGAGTCTTTGCAGCCAATAACAGCATATGTGATATTTTTTGTAAAAATCATATAAGCAATTTTGTGGCATTCTTTGATACCCTGTATTTAAAACATAGGGGTCACTAAAATGTAAATGAAGCATAATTTAATGTAAAAGCTTGTAAAGAATAAAATAGAAAACAAAATAACTAATAATCCCAAAAAACGTGCAATGGTTAATTTGTGGATTTTCATTGGAAGGGCTCAATTATGCTTCGACATTTTGGTACAGAGGTAGCAGCAGCATTCAAATAAAACGTGTCCACTTACCTATCTTATACTATTTACATTGCTCAATTGCGACATAGATCAGCCAATGTAAAATTAATAAATTGACTGTTTCTGATCATGCATCCCTAGTTAAACAGTGCAGACACCTTCATGGCTTAATGTAAAGCCTACTCCATTTTCAGTCCACCAAAATTAAAAAATCAACATGTCTCAAAAGCACACTTGAAATATGTGAGACTAAGGATTAACCATAAGTGGATTTCATGAAAGGAGTCAAACTGGAGATCCTTAGAAGGGATAGAGGGACATACTGGTGACACATTTTTACAAAATTTCAATAAGCCTTTTGAAACGTGATATTTCAGTACTATATTGAAGTTGTTGCACCCTTATAATATATGCATGTGTATAATATATGCATGCGTATTCCTTTCTTTTACCACAGGGACATGCAAGCTCCTTTTTCGGCCCCACCATGGGTCGCTACTCGTCTTTCCAGGTGCACCTGACTGATGATATCCGCCACATTCAGAGCATGGACACAGGCGTCCTGTTTCTGACCAAGAGCAACCTCAAGTGCCTTACTCGCGGAGGCCTCATCATGTTTGACTACCCGTTAGTTTTTCCTTTGTTATTGTGACGCGAGAGTATTGTTGCATCAATTAAATAATTACTCAAGTAAAAAAAAAAGCTTAAAGCTCTGGAATCTAGCAGCATAGGGACTGAAGGCTGTGTACTTCTCTTTCTGGTGCAGTCTTTGTCTAGGATAAAGAGTGAGAGGATATATACAGAATAGAATTCTAAACAGAAAAAAGGCTAATTTGAACTAAATTTTAATGACTAAAATGAAACGGAATAAAAGTAGTCCTTTTATCACATATATTTAAGTAGAAGTAATATTATATGAAAGTATATAATTTTCTTCTAGAGAAGAGTCGTAGATCACAGTGGAGCATCATAATGAAAAAAAAGGGAAATTTCTGCATAATTTAGTCACAGAGACGTAAACAAAGTCATTGAGTGTGGTTTGATGTGAAATGGTGAAATGGTTCATTGTAGGGAAACATACTGACTCACAGTGGTGAACACCAGAGGATGCAGCGGTCACAATGCCTGCCACACAAATTGGGACTTTTTATTCACTATCCAAAACAATACTGAACTTACATATGTCTTCTGAGTTTTTATATGTAATATTGATAATGCTAAAATAGTGATAAACCTGACAAAAATGTTGCCTTATGGTGCTATTTTGCCTTGCAGTGCCCTGCATGTATAGATTACATATTTACATATATATATATATATATATATATATATATACCAAAAGCTTATCTCAAAACAATCATAAAACAATGTTTCAGGCATCAGACAGTGTGTTCATATAACCATTTCTGTATGTAACTTTTTGATGTGCCTTTTGGAGTCATTAAACTCCTCAGACCTCTGGTTCCTATCACCACAACTGTGAAGAATTCAGACTCTGTGTCTGTAGAACAGAGAATTTCACATCAAGCCCCTCTGAATGACTTTGTTTACATCTTACTGGTTGAGTTATGAACAAATTTTGAAAAGTGGTGAAACTCCCCTTTAAATATACAAAAAAAGATTTTTTTTTTCAAAAGCTACATCACACTGGTTAACATAGCAGTTAAAAAATGTAACTAATAACTGAATTGTGTGCACATGTGTGATCTGCAGGATGGAAGAGGGCACTGACATGCACAGTTTGCTGCTCACTGACAATAACACACTGCTCATGGGAGGCTTGCAGAACTACGTTGCTGAGTTGGATCTGAATACAGTGCAGGAGACACAGAAAGTAAGATTACTTCACTCATAAGTTAGTGTCCATTCAAAAAAAATGTTTTTCACTAAATGTGTATTTTCCTCTGTAGAGGACTGCTGTCAAGAAACATAGCCACTTTGTTGACTGAGATTGCGTTTAGACAGAATGGAGCAACTTATAGAAATAAAGAGGACATGTTTAGTACAATTGAGACTTTGACAGTTTGAAAACATTTATATTTTAAAGCACATTACACATTCCTTATATACAGTTGTATGCAAAAATGAGCACCCCCAGTAAAATTATGCTTTTTTTAAAGTGAACATCCTCTACAGAAAACTTAAATATGTGCAAATTTTAGTGCACAATTTCTATTTGTTTATTTTGCTGAATTTGACATATTGGAAAAAGTATAAAATATAACATATGCCAAAACGTTTGCACAGGCTGCATGTTTTATTTTTTCTCAAGTGTTTTAAAATTCTAATTTAAAATGTGCTCTCTGTCAGTTTTCACTCAGAAAATGAACGAAACGTATGTAAAATTATTTATGGTACGGTATATTGTATAAAACATTGTGTAGTTACACTTTATACATTAACCTTTGAGTCAGGAAATGCAATTTAGGAATTAGAAGAAGGTGAAATGGATTAAAAACAGGCATCAGAGGAAATACTGAGTCTTGCCATCAATTTCTTCAGTTCACGGTTTTCACTTTGCACATTCATTTACTGTTATGATGCAGTTCACAGTGGAGGTTCCTGGGGTGGCCATCATGAGACAGTCCAATCGTTTCTTCTTTTGTGGTCACACATCTGGAAAGGTAAGAGGAAAGTGAAACAGAATTCTTCCATATGATTTTGTAAGGAAACCTCCTCTCTCTGAAACAATAGCTTGTTTATTGTCAAGTGTTTAGTGTGTTTTTTTAAGTCTCAGGGTTGTAAACTTTCTAGAAACACAAAGGCGGCATCATGTAAAATTATCCTGACTTAAAAATTGAGTGACAAAGCAAGTAACACCAGCTCTCACAGTCTGTGTGTGTGTGTGTATACATACATGTGTGTGTGTGTGTATATATATATATAGTTCAGTTCTCTTAGGCCTATTAAGGATTATGCAGTTTCTCTTTTACATATTAAATAAAGTGCTCTTAGTCTTCCCTTCTCTGTTGCGGTGTGACAGGTGTCTTTGCGAGATTTGCGCACATTTAAAATGGAGCACGAGTTTGACGCTTTCTCCGGCAGCCTGTCAGATTTTGACGTGCACGGCAACCTGCTGGCAGCGTGCGGCTTCTCAAGCCGTGGCCTCAATGGCCTATCCTGCGACCGCTTCCTCATGGTGTACGACCTGCGCATGATGCGGGCTGTGACACCTCTGCAGGTGCACGTGGACCCCCTTTTCCTTCGCTTTATTCCCACCTACACTTCCCGCCTGGCCATCATCTCCCAGACAGGTAAATCATGAGAATTGTTGCTCAAGTTGGTGTAGTGCTGCAAACATAAACAGTTGAGTTGAACATGCAGATTAATGATTTCTGTTGAATGAAAAGTACAAGTCTGTAGTTTTTGGTGTATTTTAGCTTTTTAAATGTAATTATCATGCTTGTTGTGTTTACTCTATGCAAGTACTGTAGTACTGGGGGTATTTCACATGCAGGATTTTTCAGGTTAGCCAGAACTTAAGCCTAAAGTCAAACCTGTCTAATAGGAAAAGAGCTGGGGGACATTGCCATGGGACAGTCCTCATCTTTGGTCTTAAGTTACCTGACTAACTGAGAAATCCTTCCTTGTGAAATGGCCCCTCGGTTTATTTCATTATGTTTTGGTTGGAAACAAAACATAAATGGATACATAAACAACATGCTGTAATTACTTAGATAAGGTAATTTCTTGATAAGTTATTTGTCTGTGACATTAATATAATAAAACAAATTTATTATAACTTTGTTCTCAATCACAGTCGCTAGCATGTACGGCTGTTTACGACATTCTGGACAATTAAAAATTTTTTAAAGCTTTCCACAAATTAGGTGTAAATCTGTTAAGCTGTAGAGTTGTAGTATCTTAATAGAATAATTTCATACATTTATCTGTAATATGTTTTTAATTTTGTTAAATACAATGGTCCAAAAATTTTGAATTGTAATTCCACTACTTCTGAGCATGTATTTTCATTGTTATTTATTTATTTATTTATTTATTTATTTATTTCACTTCATTTAAGCAGAAATGCTCCAAAATTGCTTGGAATAAAATCAGTTTCCATTAACTTACATCAGAAGTAAAGAACGTTTTTGCCATCTCCTGTAAAGTTACCATTTTGGAGGTGTTCATTTTTTTGGGGGGGCAGTTTTAGAGTAGCTGCCACCTTTTTTTGGCCTGAAGCTGCTGACCAAAAGCAACTGCCTTAAGTTTGGACTCTCACCATTCGTTTATCTCACCATTATATCTTTAAGTGTACAATGTCTCCCCCTATAGGTCAGTGTCAGTTCTGCGAGCCCACTGGTCTTGCCAATCTTGCCGACATCTTCCATGTGAACACGGTGGGCCAGCTGCTCATGAGCTTCGACGTGTCGTCGAGCAAGCAAGCTCTGGCCTTTGGTGACTCAGGTGGCTGCGTGCATCTGTGGTCCAGTGCCCCGGAGGTCTCCTTTAACGATTACTCACGAGAGACTGAGCTAGCCCTGCCCTGCCTGGTGGACTCACTCCCTCATCTGGACTGGAACAATGAGCTGGTGCCTCTGTCTTTGCTGCCTATGCCTCTTACCAACACAGAGCCTCTGCTCTCAGACTGGCCGAGCAACCTAGTCACTCCAAGCCCCAGGTATCACTCAGCCACACTCTCTCTCAGCCTTTTGTCTGTGTGTTGGGGTTGGTGACTTTCTGTCAAAATTCCTTATGTGCAACAAGTGATTTAATTTATGGTGCATCAGACTGATATAAGCCCCCTATGCTTCCTATAGCATATTGCAGTCTGTCAGAATGACCATGTGTATCATATGAGCGTTATAGAGCATTATAAAACACTTGGTTTTAAGTAAGTAGGTCTACGTTCTTCTGCCTTTTAGTAGCTCATGTGAAAGTTGATTTGAGTACAGTTCTAAGTTTCCTTGTGTTACCGCAGACGAGCACCACCTGTGGATCCAGAGATCCTGAGGACAATGAAAACGGTTGGGTTTATTGGATACGCTCCAAACCCTCGCACACGTCCCAGAAATCAGGTATATGACTATCTGTCCCTGATGTTATATTCTAACAGTACTTTTATTATTAAACTAATTTATTGTTGAGTAAACATGGTTTCAATTTAACTCATTTTTAAAGTTATTCACTGTTTAGCTTTGAAAGCTGGAACGTTTGGACCAGTTCCTTGAGTTTTTAAATTTGTGTCAGTGTTTCTTTAATATGAATGTGAAATGTGGAAAACTATTAATTTTCCAATAGTTCATGTCACTACATCATTCAGAATGTTTGAGAAATGAGCTGTCTGGTTTATGTGTGTATTTGTCAGGTCCCCTATAAGATAAAGGAGGTGGAGCTTGAGTACGACAGCTATAACCAAGTCCCAGAGTCTCCAATTGGTCGAGATGAGGAGCCTCACCTTTACATGGTGCCAAAGAAGTATAGAAAGGTACTCAGTTGCAGTTTTACTGATGCCTCTCTGCACTGCACAGTTCCAGCACACCAGATTAACTTCATCAGCATTATCTTAATTAATTAACAGTCTTGGTGGTAGAGCATTATTTAACAGCATTATATCCACTAGGTCACCATCAAGTACTCCAAACTGGGTCTGGAAGACTTTGACTTTAAGCACTACAACAGGACTCTGTTTGCTGGTCTGGAGCCTCATATACCCAATGCTTACTGTAACTGCATGATCCAGGTGGGACCACAGTCACTAACTTGCATCAAAATTGTAAATTTTGTTCCTGAATAAAGAAATGTGCTTAGGTAAATGAAAAATAAGAAATCTGAAAAAAACGTTTGCAACCTTTTGTTGACTTCTTCGACTTGAGGAATTGCCCAGAGACATTTTTACATCTCCTCACAAATCACTAAGTAATCCACAAAACCCCTTGGAATTTTAGTGAGGAATATTGGAAATTCACAGTGTTAGCTGGGAATGGTCCCTCTCACTTCACCTCTGTGGTTAATGTTTAATCTTTCTCTCCCTGGCGGGAAGGTGCTGTATTTCCTGGAGCCGATCAGGTGCCTGGTACAGAATCACCTGTGCCAAAAGGAGTTCTGTTTGGCCTGTGAGCTTGGCTTCCTCTTTCATATGCTGGATCTCAGCAGAGGAGACCCCTGCCAGGTACCTTATCACTTACAGGTCATATGATCCCACATCATTCAGGAAATTCTTTATATACAGTCTTTATGCCGTATTATATTACTGTTCCATGTCCCAGTCAATCACATTAAATGCAGAAGAGGTAGTGCATCACATTCCTTAAATATTCCAGTATTATTCTTTTCGCAGACACATTCCTGGAAATCACCTTAAAATGCATCCTATTTGAAATGCGCCCTGTGGCATTTAAAGGAGACGTAGTAAACAAAACTGCATTTTTCCCTGCCAGTTCACCTCTGTAATTTATTTGTTTTATACTTTTCCCAGTTGTCTTTCAAAGTGTACAGGTAACTGTTCAAAATACCAAAAGAGTAGAATACAGTACTGTATAAAAGTCAGAAACAATTTTTTCAGTATACCACAGGGATCGGCATCATGTGGCTTTTTTACTGCCCTCTTGTGGCTCCATAGCACAATTAGATTTTTTTAGGAAAAAATAAAGTAATCTTCCTTTGCTGTGAAAAAAAACTTATCCTTTGCTAAGCATTCTAACACACAGTTCTGACACAGTTTTAACAACAACCATTTATTTAACAGTTTAAGAAATTGTCCTAAACACTAAAATTAATTCATAAATGGTTTTAAACGCTAATGCTAATTCGCCAACCTTTAACCCTGAAGACTGGTGTGCAGACTGCTGGTCACACAGCTACACAGACGATAATCTCGCCTACGTAGTAGCCAACAAAAGGGCAAAGAAAATACAGATATAAGATAAAAATTTATAATTTAGAGACAAATGGACTTATTTGAGGTTTAGCTGAGCTAAAGTCTGCATTTTCATTTGTATTTTTAGCCTAAACTACATTAGCACATACCGAGACATATTTACAGCCAAGATGGTAAAATGTTACCTCAATTAAATGGACATAAAATGTTGTGGCTCCAAAGGTGGTTCATTTTTGTTAAAAGGACAAAATGGCTCTTCTTAACATTTGGGTTGCCGACCCCTGTTGTACAAGGTCTTGCCTAGTAGTTCCTTTATATCTTTTAAAAAGTTTTTGAACTCCAATTTTGGGAACTCCTTTTTCACATATTTTCCTTTTGCAGGTGGATTATTTCATATCTAGTCTCCTCAGAAGTATCTTCTGAAATATGAATAGTTTATACTTAATGACCTATTTGACAGGAAATTAAATAAATGGAGGGTGGTCTTTGAACTGTACACTGTACTGTAAGCTCCAGATGATGACTGGATGACTGGAATGAAGACTGGAGGTCTTTATTAACTGGTATCAGATTTGTTATATTAGTGTTGGAGCTAAACTGTGCCTTGTTGTACTGGTATGGAAACCTTCTTTTGAGCAGTCAAATATGGAGGTGATACAGAAAACTGTTACAAAAGGCAGTTTTTTCTCTCCAGGCCAGTAATTTCCTTCGCGCGTTCCGGACCATCCCTGAAGCATCTGCGCTGGGCCTGATTCTGGCTGACTCTGACGAGCAGACAGGGAAGGCCAGGCTGGGGCGGCTGATCCAGAGCTGGAACCGCTTCATCCTCACACAGCTGCACCAGGAAACCCAGGAGCAGGAAGGACCTCAGGCCTACAGAGGCACCAGCAGCAGGTGAGAGGGCTCCTTCGCAGAGCTGCATCAAGAGGCCATATGTTTGAACATAATATACACCAGTTCAGTACCATGGTCTGAAACAGTCCATGCCTTCACTGCAAAGATTATAAGTCACATGCTAACCCTGCAAGATGCTGAGAAATTAGTTCATGCTTTCATAACTTATTAGATTAGACCACTGTAATGTGTTGATGGTTCAAAATGCAGCAGCCAGAGCTTTTTATTCAGTTTAAACTGGCTTCCTATTATGTTCAACATTGACTACAAGGTATTTCTTATGTTATTGAGAGCTCTTAGTGGCTGAGCTCCAGCATATCTTGTTGATCTTTTGCTCTTAGTGGCTGAGCTTCAGCATATCTCACTGATCTTCTGACGTGCTGTAGCCCGTCCAGATAACTTCGCTCAGCTGAGGCACAACTGCAAACTTCTAGAATAACTTACAGTTCAGTTCAACAGATCATTTTCTTATTTAGCTCCTAAATTCTGGAATAGCATTCCAGAGAATATTAGGAATGCAAACTCTTTCTTTGTTTTTAAATCCAGATTGAAAACAATGGATTAAAAAATGTTTAAATGAAATGTTTAAAATAAGTACTGTCTATAATTCTTTTTCATTTAGACTGTAGTGTTTTTATCTTTCTAACATTTTATTCACATTCACATGAAGCATTTGTTCTGGAGCACATACGCTGTTTTTGCGTCTATTACTAGCACTTCTGGGCTGAAAGATGTTTGAGATGACGTCAATCATATGTGTGATAAAGAGAAACAATAACAACATCAAAAAACACTTTATTTACACATACGCTTGAAGTTGATCACATAAAAGTGGTTTTGTTGGTATAAATTATTTAGATATGCTAATTATTAAGTGATTATCAAATTATTTAGGCCGTTCATAAGTTTGTGGGATTTCTCTACATGTATGTGTTGTCCCGCTCTCACCCGTTCTGTGCTAGTTAACTGTGTGTTCCCCCGTGTGACACTGAAAATTAGCCCCACCCAGCAAGATATTGTGGTGTTCGGCAGAACTTCCGTGGGAATGCAGACCTCTAATCTGTGTCACATTTGGCATAAATTTGGATTTGTACCACCTCAGTCCTGTAATGATTTAGCAGTGATTAACCCGCTTAAATTTTATCCGTATTGGACAAAATAGTTTACCCTGGTAGTAGTAAAGGTTATCTGACTCTTGGTGCATGTATGTGTGTGTTGCAGTTCTCTGGGCTCGTCAGGGGAGTCTGTGATTGGCAGGCTGTTTGGCTGTGAGGTGGAGAACAGCAGTCTGTGTCGCTGTGGAAAGGAGACGGTGCGGTCTTCTCTCACTCTGCTCTTCACCATGCACTACCCCGAGCAGAGCTCCGTCGGTCAGAACACTCACTACATATTAAAATTCAGTAGTGCATTATGGGGAAATGGGAATGAATTTTAACAGGAACTTTAGGAATATCTTTAAAGACGATGTAGTAGAATTAACCTCAAGCATTATAGCTGCCAAAAAGCAGCTGTAACGTTTGCTGTTTTCAGTCTCCTCTTTCCATTCATTCTAAGCGTTTTAGAGAAATCATTATTATTTTTGTAGACAAGGTTCAGGAGTACGACTTCACTGAGATCCTGAAGAAGAGCATCTGTCTGGAGCAGAGCACACAGGCCTGGTGTGAAAACTGTGAGAAGTATCAGCCTACAGTAAGTTTATCTGTTTGTGCCTCCTTTTCTCTCTTTGTGTGGCAGTAGATGGTAGAGGAGGACTTTTTTTTTTTTTCTTTCTCCTTCTCTGTTTCTGCCAGCGTTATGTCAAACTTTGACATTAGATAAAATAGTATATTGAAATAATTACTTATTTTCTCAACATAGTGACTGAATATCTTGAAATAAAGACTTATTTCATTGATACATTGTCTTAGTCCAAAATGGCTCTTTTTTTTTTGAAATATTGACTTAGTACCTCAATGTTCACTTAATATCTTGATGGTGCGAGAGACTAAGGTGAAATAATGAGTTATTAAATTTTAAAGTAATTATTTCAGGATAATAAGTCTTTATTATGAGACACAGTCATTTTGATATGAAGTCATTCAACATAGGAGGTAAATATTTTTAGAAAATTGTTATTTTGACATTTCATAGTAGATACTTAGTCACTCATAGTAATTATTGAATAACAAATGTATTATGACCAGAATAATAATCTTATCGTTTGAATAATAATACATTTAGCCATTTGATTTCTGCTTTGTACAATCAGGCATGTGTGTATCTGTGTGTATTCAGGTGCAGACCCGGAACATCCGCTGTTTGCCAGATGTGCTGGTAATAAATTGTGAGGTGAACAGTGTTAAAGAAGCAGAATTCTGGAAGGCCCAAGCAGAGGTCAGCATATCTCTAATCTGTACCTGGGGGAAAAAAGAATGTTTTAAAAAATCTTATCATGGGAGTGGGAGACATTAATGACGCTTTAGATTGTCAGTGGTTTTTGGCACTTTTCTGTTAACCTTTAAACACTAAGGTTCCACACTTCATCACTCTGGAAACTACATAACATAACTACTAAAATATTAGTTTCATAGAAGCTACTGAAAAATTGACATGTGCTGATATCTCAATATTCAACACACACAGTCTTGTTAGAAGGGTAGTAGTGGGCAGTATACCAGTTGAAGTTCGTCATAAGATATGAGTTTTACCATAATCATTATACCAGTGTGCCACAAATAATCACAGGTAGTGTGATGTACAAACAGTGCAAACCATGCTAACATTAGCAAGTTTAGCTGAGTGGCTGGGTCAGGATCAAATGAAAATAAACTACAAAGGAGCGGACATAAAGGAATGGGTGGTCTTTTGGGGTTAGCTTTCGCCTAGCAGAGCAGTTGCCGTGGTTCCTCTCATACCACCTGACAAGCTGCCTGTCTTAGTCAGCTGGATTAGATAATGTCACAGTCTGAAGTGTAAATGACTGACTGAAGTATTTTCTAAGTGTGGTCAGAGGCACAAGTATACAGGACGCATGTATAAGCTTCTTAGTCAAAATTCCCATTACACCTTAAATGGTGTAACTCCTGCAAACTCCCTTAAATGGCCAGGACCCACCAGTGGGCCTAAAGTTTTATCACACACTTCTATAACCTAAGAATAGCTCAATCAGTTTGCATTGAAGTTCCTGTAGTTACTGAATAATAAGCCTTAGTATGTAATAAGCCTGGGATTTTAAGGGGTTAAAAATGGTTCTTATTAAAAAGTGAAGGGACGTCCCACTATACTAAGCCACTTAACTAAGAAAAATAGGTCTACTTTAGCATCTAAAATATTTTTTTATTTAAAAATATGTATGCCGTGATGTATACCAAAAGGGTAAGAAATTTTAATTATACCATGATATACATTTTTGGCTTTATGGCAAACTTTGGGGACACTTTAAACACCATCCCTGCGTTTTAGACTATAAAGTTGCCATTTCACCAGATGCACAGGGTAGGAGTGGTTTAACAAGGTCCAACTATGCAGTCACACTTTATTTGCTGTTTGTGCAGCTGTTTTGGTATGCTATTGATGCTGTCCTTTCTCAGTATGCTATGTAAAGGGTCTAACACTCACGCCAAACAAAAAAAAAAAAATTACCTTTCCATTTCTCCCCCCAAAATGTATAATCACCAACACATTGTTACTATAAAAATAACATTCAGAACACTACATGTATATACATGTGTCTACAATTATCTCATACATGCAGTGTTTTCTTAAGAGAATATCGTAATAGGATTGTAAACCATGGCAAAAGGTTAGGTCATTGTTGTGAGTAGGCACATGCCTCATCTTAAGATTCATAACTGAATAATAAGATTTTTTCTGAGGTTAAGTGTCCTGCATTCTAAGGTTGTTCATGTTTTTGCTGTGCAGTTTGCGTTCAACAAGGCCCTCAAAAAAGAGGCAGCAGAGCCCCCGAAACCCAAGGAACCTCTCCCTACAGAGTGGTGCATAGAGTAAGACTCGTCTGCTGCACATGGCACTTTTTATATTTTACTGATGTAAAAGTCACCAAAAAATGTTTATTCTGGACAATATATGTCCATCGTATTTCTGATTATTTTGATTTCTGTCATTTAAGCAGTGATGTGCTCTGCAACGTGGAAGGCTTGACCATTGACACTTGTGCAGAAGACCTGAGGCATGTGTGGATCCCACTCAGCATGAAGATGTGCATCAGTAAAGCTCATGGTCTGGAGGTGTGCAGCTGGCCTGAGGGTGAGGAGGTGAGAAATGACCCTTCTACAAAGTCCACTGCTAATAGATGCACACTTGACTTTAAGGGTCCAGACACACCAAGCTGACGAGGAAAAACTAGTGCCAGCTAAGACCGACTGATGGTTTCCTTCTGACTGGACAGCTCAGTACCGCCTCACATCTGTAAAAATGTACAATCAAACATCCTGCAAATACTACTGACGATTCACAACTCTCACAGCCGACCAATCAGCCAAACAAACACCCAAAACAGAGCTGACAAGCCAGCTAAGGTCAACTGTGTGAGACATGCAGCAGAAACTATGAGTGACAGTCAACCACCAGTGCTCATCGACAGCCTGACAGCATCTGACACAAAAGTCAGCTTGGTCTAAAACTAAAACTCACACAGACCCAGCCTTCCACTAACATTTTGTATACCAGGAGACGCTCAGTCCTCTATAATGGCATTCAGCCCTTAAGCCTTAAACTGTATGCTTATTATTTGGTAACTACTATGAATTACTATGCTAGGAAAGTGAGGTCTGGACCACATACAAACCCTTAGTGATTAAGGGTTAAACTGCAGGTTAAATATTCCTAAGACTTACTACTCAGTAACTCCTATGAGTTATTAGGAACTACTGTGAATCGTATGTTTATATGTACTGCGTTCATAGTCTACAAGCAAAACAATATTATGCATTTTTTAATCTTTTTTTTAAACAGCAGTTAATGGAATGGCAGCTTGTAAAATGCTAATAGCTCACCTCAGCTTATGTTGATGATTTTGCTACACTTTACACATTTGGCCTTCAACTATCGTTTATGCATATTATGCTCTTTTCTATCCTTTAGTTGAGTGCAGAGGATGAGGCTGAGGGGGCTGCTGTGTATGACCTGGTGGTCACTGTGCCCCACGTCCTTGATGCCCGTACAGGGGGTAACCTGGTAGCCCATATCAAAGTTGGTGAGACTTATCATCAGAGGAAAGAGGTAAGAGAGTAGAATTTCATTTAAGGTTGTTATTTGGAATCCATGTAGCGAATTCAAGGAAACCATCCAATTGGTCTTCTTAATTTACCCATTTGAATTAGTGCAGAAACAGTGCAGTAGTTTCAACTAAAATGTTCCATTGCCTTAAGTTACACTTGTGTTCAGTCAAGCTAGGATAAGACTTTTTTAGGTTATAAATCATTTCATTTCATTCAGAGGCTTTGTTTATTTCATCACTTTGCCTTCTACCGTTTGCACATTTTTATAAACCACCTTGGATAAGAACATCTGCCAGATTACTGGATATACTTGGATTTGAATGCACTGGTTGTTGTATTTTCAGGAACATGAAGTAACTTGTATCTTTTGTCTCTGCACAGGGAGTAACTCATCAGCAGTGGTATCTCTTCAATGACTTCTTGATTGAGCCTATTGATAAGGTAAAAATGGACTCACACCCATTGGATGTAATTGTCTGCTTCTCTTGTGAGGAAAAGAGATTGAAGAAAGTGTTTGTGTCTTTCAGACTGAAGCAGCTCAGTTTGATGTGAGCTGGAAGGTTCCGGCCATCATTTACTACGCCAAGAGGAACTACCACTCCAAATATGACCTACGCAGTAAGACCTGTCAAACACAAATGTTTTTATTATAGATATTAATAAAAATAATATGCATCTTGATTTGTAGTCAGTCTTCTAACAAAATGCTCTACTGTTTGCCCAACCACAGTTAAAAACCCTATTGAAGCCAGTGTGCTGCTGACAGAAGCCTCCTTGGCACGAAAACAGCGGAAAAGTCATGCCACCTTCATCCCTCTAATGGTTAGCGAGATGCCACAGGCAGGAGACCTCGTGGGACTGGACGCAGAGTTTGTCACACTGAACCAGGTTAGATTTAACACGTGTTTCAAAGTAGCTCTGCATGAGGATGCATGCATTTGGTTCATATTTAAGTTGTCATTATCTATTAAATTAGTAATCAAGTACTAATTATTTTGACTGCTACTTGTGATGATTTTCATCAAGAAAGTAAATTTGATCAGTGTTTTTTGTTTTTTTGGTTAGAGTACAATCAAGTAATTGTGACTTTCTTGTTTACATTGGTTTACAGCTACTTGTGCTGTTCCAATTTTGAATAGTTTGTTTTTCAGTATATTTCTTGTCACTATTTTCAACATAGCGTCAGAATTAAGTAGACAGACAGCTTATTTATCAGCTAGGGTTGGGCTGATAGACGATGCCATCGTCCATTGTTGATGGCTGACAGACAGAGTTTTTATTACTGTTATTTACTCAGAGATCTGAACTGATGAATATGTATTTTTAAGGAGTGTATTTATAGTACCTTTGTAAATCTACTGATACCACTATCCCCCCCCAACCCGACGTCATCGTCCATTGCCATGTTTCCCTGTAGACATTGCCCCACCGTATGATAAACAGGTCTTCATTGCACACTGTCAGATATCTATTTTACTTTAATCTACTTTATCCCCTGTTGCAGTCCTTCTGCTCTTAGACACAGAGCCTTTCCAACTTAAGATTTTTTGGTCTATCTTTGTGTTCATGTTTTTATAGGAAGAAGCTGAGCTGAGAAGTGATGGAACCAAGTCCACCATTAAACCCAGTCAGATGTCTGTGGCTCGCATTACATGTGTGAGAGGACAGGGGCCCAATGAAGGAGTTCCTTTCATCGATGACTACATCTCAACACAGGAACAGGTGTGGCCTCTTTCTGCCTGTACTGCATTGTATTGACCTATATGTGATGTGGACTAGATGTTTTGTTTTTGTTCTGTTTACCGAAGCCCTATAATATAAAACCAGTTTGCTTATATTAGTGGTTCAGTAAATTTAAATCTAAGTTCTATTCTGAATTTAATTTCTGATTTGTTCTGAAGAAAAGTTCTCAGCATTTGATTACATAAATCAATTGTTTTTATCAAATGTCCAACAATGCCCAATTTGAGAGCTGGACGATGCCTGAAATATCCTCTAAGACACTAGTTGGTGCTAGTTAGCTGGGCACCAGCCTCTCGTCCACTTGGGCAATCAGTGGTGCTAATGAGCTGGGTGCCAGTATTGTCTTTATCGAAAAGTCCGTCCCATGGGCAGCATACCCAGGCCATTATTCCCAGTCATATAAGACCAAACGCCTGTCTCTTTGAATAGAGAGGGACCTATAAACATAAAACTGAAAACCCCATTAACGTTTCAAAATATATCTGAAATCACTACTAAAATCTGACCAAATTAGCATAAATAGTTTGTAGCGTATGGTTGAAAATTTTGATTTTTAGGCTGTTCTGGCTACTGTGCCTTGTTAAATGTTATGAGCTATCCCGTTAATTTTTCAACCAGTGAACTCTTCCCTTGTATTATGTCGTTTAGCATCGGCCTTTTGTCTCCGAGGCACTAGGTGGCGTTAGTTATTCTCATTACACTCTGGGGCACTAATCTTTGCTTGTGACAGGAATTTTCCAGTAACGCCCAAAATTTGGTGCATTAGGATAAAAATAAAATAAAATAAAAATTCCATCCGACCACACTCTTTTGTTACAGGTGGTTGACTACTTGACCCAGTACTCCGGCATCAAACCTGGAGATCTGGACGCCAAGATTTCCTCTAAACACTTAACCACTCTGAAGTCCACTTACCTCAAACTCCGTTTTCTGATTGACACTGGAGTGCGTTTCGTTGGCCATGGATTACAAAAAGATTTCCGGGTCATAAACTTGTTGGTGAGTTTGACATACACCTCCTGTTTTACTGTGGACTTTTAGTCAGTAATGTGTTAAAATGACGTATTACCATGTTCATTGTATTTAGGTCCTGAAGGATCAGGTGATAGACACAGTCTACCTCTTCCACATGCCCAGGAAAAGAATGATCTCTTTGCGTTTCCTTGCCTGGTACTTCCTTGGTAGGTGCTTTGCAGTGTATTTCAGCTTCTTTAACCTTCTGAACTTTTGCCGTCACAAAGAACAAAGATACGTATGACTGAACCTCTACTCTTGCTTGTGAAATGTACCGTGTAATCCTTTGGGTTTGTCTTATTTGCTTATTGGTGTTTTGTTCAGACTTAAACATTCAGAGTGAGACTCATGACAGTATAGAGGACGCTCGCACGGCCCTGCAGCTGTACAGGAAATACTTGGAGCTGAGCCGCGGGGGACAGGATGAATTCCGAAAGGTTTTGAAGGGGCTGTACGAAAAGGGACGGAAGCTGGACTGGAAAGTACCTGATGTGGACTCTGCCGATGGTCAGGGTAGCCCAAAAGGTATGTGGAATATTGTAAAATTAATATTTTTGTTTGTTCATTTTATTACACTAAATATAACAATATTCATTCAGTAATTGGCTGTTCACTTTGGTCAATTGAAAAATCTTATTTGAACACTTACATTCTGCCTCTGTGTCAATTGTTCTTTTTATTACAGGTACTGCTGTGTTCCCCTCGGTGCTAGGCTTATGATCAGAGTGAAATTCCTCTCACAACTCCAACATTCCTACCAAAGGGAATTCTCATCTATCCAGGACTCCTCAGTATCACTGACAAAGCTAGCTGATAATTAATCGCAGTGGTCTTTGTCAGGCTGTTACAAGTACTGACAATATAAAGACTTTTTATACTGATTATGTTGGGGGGAAGTGAACTTGCAGTGAGAAAATTGTTTAAAAATGATGTGTCCTGATAAGCCTTTCTCCACTCAAGTGTGCAGTTTGTGTGCCATGGAGAGGAGATACCTCTAGAACGAATTAAGATTTGTAAGTGGAAAAAGCAGAATTGAAACCTAACCAAAAATGACCTAATAGCAGTACTTTTTGCTTGCATTTCATTCCATGTTTACAAGACGTCCAGGATTGATGCATGCACCACATAATAGCCACTGCACATATCTGTGTTTGTTAACTCACAGGCTGAATGGTGTTGTTAGATTGCTGCAGTCAATTTTGTTGTTTTTCAGAAAAGCAAATACCAAACTGAGCAGTAACTACACATGGCAGTCCTGTTTTGGGATGTTAGCAGTCTATTTAACACATTTCGGAAATCATTAAAATGCATATTTCAAAATAATCCTGTTTTACTTTTTAGCACAGCATACTATCCCAAGCATCACAAATATATAACTTGGTGTTTGCCTTGATCCTGGACATGCATAGCATACAACTGGTGAGGCAATTGTGCAGCTTTTCATAGCTGATTCAGTTGTAAAGTTTGGTCAGATCTGTTCATATTACATGTTTTGCTGATTTTGGTGATCTACTTGTAGTCCTCTAGAGGGAACAGACTTAATTGTAGTATTTTCTGCACAATTTCTGTTTTTTTGCAGTGTTTAACAATATAATGAAAATATTAGTGCATATTGGAAAAAATAAAATCCAAAATGTGCCAGAACTTTTTGCATACACCATTTTCCCCCAATGTGTTAAACCCAGCAAATAAACACTAATTGGGCATTACAATGTGTAGAGGTTCGTTCCCTCTAGAGGATATTAACTTATTTTCACTTAGAAAAGTGATGAAACGATTTGACAACGGGCATCCAGTTTTGAATACGACTGTGCCTGTGGAGCCTGACGTTGCACTTACTGAAATTTTTTACATAAGTAGTTAAAAGCAAACAAAGTGTATTAATTGTTTAAACGTTTTTGTCTGTTTTTGTAACCATAATGAGGCAGCTGAATAAAATGTTTGACTTTTTGACATATCTGGTATTAGCACTTTTTTTTTCTTAAGTTAACCAAAGACGGAAGGTTACTCAATTTTGGATAGTGGTAAGGGTCTGTACAGGTAAATGGCAAAGTCAAAACATTATTTTCTAGGCAAATGTCGAAGATATATCTAGGAGACTGTTGAGTGTTCTGTGGGCAGAAACAGACCAACAGGACATAATAATTAAAAAAAGGCTGGAAATCACACACAACCAAAGCAAAGTAACTGATTTGAAAAGTGCACATTATGCAGATAACAAACATTGGCATTGTATTTTCATCACTGCTGCCTAAAAAAGGCTTGAAATCAGACCCAACCAATGCAAAGTAACTGATTTGATCTTATGACTTGTACCTTCTTTTATTTTTGTGTCTGCATAAGTTGATTTCAGTGTCATCATTGCTGCCTGAATATATGGACTTCATCTTTGATAAAATCTAGGTTTGTTGCGTTACCTGGAACTGAGATCTTACTTAATCGTGATTCATACTGTAAAACTCTTCACTGATGTAATGTTTTAGTCTACCAAATCTTAAATTTTAGCTTCATATGTGAAGTTCTTACAGAGCTTATTTAGCCACCCTTTTAAAGATAAATCACAGACATCTTGTGTTTGGCTGAAACAAAAACAAACCACTACTATTTGTTCCAAAATCCCAACAATGTCTTCAGGAAGTCAATGAGAACTTGGTCTGGCTGAAATGGAGAATCATCACCAGAATTCAGTTTCATATCTTGATGAAGAGGTAACATTAATGGTTTCTGAACAATTTTGCAGATTCCACTAAATCTCTCAGCCTTTTGTGAGAAACTGACTGATGTGGTCATGCGGGCAGGTCTGTGCCTTTAAATGTTGAATGAATTTATTTCTTTGGTATTGAATATTTTTAATGTTTTCTCTTGTGCCTGTGAATAAAGTCGTTGTGTTTCTGGTCTTCTAACTCTCCCTGCTGAACACTGAACTGTTTTATTTTGGAGGTAGAAGAAGATTTCACTTTGCTCTGTCATATTGTCAACAACAAAACTTCACCAGGCGTTTGACAGCACTCTTTGAAATTCTCAAAAACTTTATATATGCGTACTTTATATCTTGAAGAACTGGAGTAACAAGCTGTGGAGCTGCTGATTCATCAGCAGTATCATAAGCATGGTGTCAAACATGGGATTTATCTTCTTCCTCACTGGTCTCTGCTCCAGTGTCCTGGTCAGGGTAGTTATCAGGTATCAATATAACCATCATAGCTTTAAATGCTAATTGATAAGCGAGTTGTGTGCATGTTTGGCAAAACTGAATAAGGGCAAATGTGATGCACAATGTGTTTTGTCATTGTACAGCATCCTCTTACCTCTGTCTGTGGTCACTGTCTCCATGTCTGATGTCATTTCCTCTTTGTTACTCTCTACAGTTTGTGCCATTGTGCCTTTGCTCCCACTGTCTAATGTTTCAAAAGCCAATCCCAAAAGCTGCACTGCTAGGGAGTCCAATTTTGAATCTGGTTGCCACATGCAGGGATGTATCTTCTCTGTTTTTGTCACAGGTGCTGAAGAAGACTTAGGGTATTGAGCCCTAGGGTTTCTACCTATGGGAATAGTTGTAGCACCTGAATTAGCTGTTTCCACAGTTGTCCAGAGTTTTGGTGGAAGATTGTGTATTGGGTTCTTCTGGTAGGTTCTTGTTTTCATGGTTCAAAGGAGCACACAGTACTGTGCAGACGTCAGAGAACTGCTTTAATGTATTTAACATCCAGTCAAAATGACCACTTAATACAAGTTGTTCTGTTTTTAGGAGATATTTCTGCATATATTACATTTAAGATGAGGAAACGTCAAAGGAAAATAAGTGAAAAAACAGGAGTTTCCAAAATTGGAGTTCAACAAATCCTAAAAAGATACAGAGAAAATGAGACTCCTAACAACCATGAAACCTAGTAGACCCCCAAAACTCTCCTCATCAGATAAACAGCACAAAAGCTTTCATCTTTGAGAGAGAGGAGAAAATCAAGCTCCACTCTTGCTTCAGATCATGTTTCAGAAAACATCCACAGGTGTTTCTGTCCTTCTGACAATACACAGTCATCCTTCCACGGTGAGAAGACAACTCAGCACTATGGATCTGAAAGAATGTGTAGGTGTCAAGAAGCTCTTACTGAGAAAAGCTGCTGGTGTTCTCAGAACAATGGATTGACCACCCCAGAGTCCAGACCTTAACATTACTGAATGTGTTTGGGATTATTTTGATCGTGAAAGTTCTAAGACTGAAATTTGGAAGTAAAAATATTCCTGCAGATTTCTTTGAAAAACTGAAAGCAAATCTCCTGAAAAGTATGAAAACTGCACTAAATGCAAAGAGTGGACACATCAAATACCAAAAAAAGGATATTTAGTTGTTGAGACTTTTATTGTATGTTAAATATATGTTTTCTTCTGTACAGTGAAAAATGAATAACCTGTACTAAATGGCTGTTTTGATGAGATATTAAAAAAATGAAGGGAGAACTTTTGCACAGCACTATATGTATGTATCGGATCTCAGAAGGAAAAAGTTATCCCGATTGCATTGTGGGATGTGATGTGGTTAGCTTTGTACTGCTAACTGTGCGGCAGTTGAGTGTTTAGGCAATTTGAGAATAACAGTCAACTTTTAGATGTTCATCTTCAGTTAAATTAATTCAAATAAATCATTTTAAAGGTAACAGTTTTTAATGAAATCAGATATCAGATTGATGTCAGTATAGTATTGTATTTAGTACTTTACTAAATACGATAAATTTAGTATTGTGCACTTAAATTTGCAGAAAAGTGTCATATTTACATTTATTCAGTGTAGAGGATGTGTGAATTTATTTTCACTTAGAAAATCAACAAAACCTAATTTGACAGGGAGTGTTCAAATTTTTACGTAAAACTGTACATAGATTGCTTTGAGTTTTGTAAACCTGTCCCTAAAGGTATTAAATAGTAGTTTATAAGACAAACACATAATGGGATCAGAACTGTCACATCAAATCACACAAGTTCAGCAAATGACTGATGCTATGGCCAAAGTTTAACAGCATAAATTCAGCAATTTTCTATCAGAAAATCTTACCTGGTGCTAATTTGAAAATGACTCCATCCATCATGCTTTGATAGAGGGCTATTTGCTTCTTTATCATCTTTATTGCATTCTTCCTGTCTTCCAGATCCTTTAAGCTCTGCTCATACCTAGCATGTTTGTTCCTGTAATAATGCTGTAACTATACAGAAAACAATCTCCACATTAGTGTCAAATGCTAACATTTTGTATAAAGGTACTAATATAGCGCTTTCCCACACATCACAAGAAGTAATGAGACACAGTTTTACAATTAATACCCTTTTATGTCTTTCCCTCCTTAACTTCATCTATTTTCTTCTGTCGATTGATTTCCACCAGCATCTCTTTTTCTGTGGCAAGCTCCCTCTCTCTCCATTTCTGTCTTCAATTGAAATTTAGAAAAAGCAGACATCGTTATATAAACACTACTGTTCAAAACTTGGAGTCTGTTATTTGACAATAATATAAAACCAATTTGGTTGCAGACAAAAGTGTGTAAAATGATCTTGTTAGAAATTTAATACCCCAGGTCACATCACATTTAAATATACATTTGAATTTTTGGATTGTCTAAGTGAAAATAAGTTAACACTTCCTCTACAGAGAGCTACAGTGGCTGACATGACCCAAAGCACAGTACAATAAAAAACGCACAGCAAACCCATAAATAAGTTTGATGGAAATTAAGAAAACACTTTCAATCAATGTGACGACACCTGAACTACAAATAAACCTGCTACACCTGCTAAAAACAGAAACACATGCAACTTCAGAAATGATGCAAAGCCAGTCACAACACAACAGAAATGTTTCTGGAAGACTTTCAAAATGAATGGAGTATGTGTGATAGAAAATCACTGAAAGAAGTTGATAAAATTACAGAAACTCACATTCCAGTAAGTTCATGGTTAACTTGGCTGGCTTGTTGGCTGTAAGACAGGTCATAGTTGTACTACGGTAGTTAGTACAGTTAGTCATATCTGGTATTGCTATTTGAAATTTTACAGTTACACTCTACAGCTAATTCCCATTATGACATGAACCTGAAACATTTCCATTATGTTGTAACTCACTCTACAGTGTTTCTGTTGCTGCGTGTGCTTTCTGTAGCTCAGTATGTTTGTGAAATGTAGCTCTAGGGTTTTGTTATTATGATGAAAGTGTTTCCTGAACTGCAAAGCGTCCATGAGTTTGCAACACATTTTATTATTTTGCAGTTTGGAAGTCAGTTTGTAAAATCCGGCGCATATGTTGTCATTTTGATGAAAGTGTTTTCTGCATTTGCAGCTCATTTTTTTATTTTGCAGTGCTTTGGGTCTTGAGAGAACATATGTAAATATGAGATTTTTAAAGCACCTTTTCTGTTTATTTTCTGAGTTTAACATAAAGAGAAAAAACATATAAAATGTGCCAAAACTTTTGCACAGGCCACATTTAATGTTTTTTTTCTCAATCTGTTAATTTCACCAAATAAAGAGTGATTGCGCATTAAATGTCAAGAACTGTGTTCTCTGTAGAGGATGTGTTAATTTATTTTCACTTAGAAAATCAACAGAACATGCAATTTAACCAGGGGTGCCCAAACTTTTACAAACAACTTTACACGTTTCAATTAATTAATAGGACACTAGGGAGATGTAAATAAAAATGTCAGATGCGTCCAGAATGAGGAAAAGAGATGTAGAAGATTGTAAAATGACTAAGAAAGCTATGATAGCATTATAGTTATGATGAAATTAACATCCAGATTTGATCATATTTCAAAAGGGGAGATCAAATCACAAGGCAGATAACTTGGCAAAAATATTATGTACATAAATCATTACAATATTATTAATCATTTTTTAAAAATCCTATTTGCAGAAAGCTTGAAATATTGTAGAAAACATCTAATAATACCTTTGGTGAATAGTTTGTCATATTTAAATTCACACTCTACACAGATGTATGCAAAATAAATAAAGTTTCTAAGTGAAAGCAAGTTAACACATCCTCAACAGACGCTGCTGTTGGAACAAAACGTATCTCCAAAATGATAACTTTACAGGAGGAGGAAAAGAACTAATTTGCTATCAATGTTCTTCCAAGTAATTTTGGGCCATTTCTTTTCGTCCATTCATCATGAAATTTACAAACGATGTAAAGGGCAACTGGAATTTTCAAATTATGTCAAAAACTGAAAAATGGAGATGTGAGGTTTTGTTCCGACAGCAATGATATATGAAAAAATAAATTAATAAAACATAAAATGTGATCTTTGCAACAGTGATGTTTTATTTTTCCAGTAAGCTCAGCAAATAAATAGAAATTGTGCACTTGAATTTGCAGAAAGTTTTTAAAAGTATTTAAGTGTGTTCTCTGTACAGGAAAATCACCAAAACATGTAGATTTGAGAGGAAGTGCTCAGACTTTTGCATACAACTGTACAGACTGTTTTGATTATAGTATAATCTGTCCCTGATTATATTATTAAGTGTTAATTATAATTATAGTATTAATAGGATACTATTATTAAGTATAAATAATATTTATAGAATTAAATCGTAGTTTATAAGACAAACACATAATGAGATCAGCGTAATTTATAACACGTAATTTGACCAGGAGTGTTGCACATGACTGTAAGTTATCATTAGATATAAATGAACAAAGTTTGTGGTACCACTTTAAAATAAGACTTCCCTTAAAAAGTGTTTATGAATGGTCTAAAATTAGTTTAGTTATGGTTTTTAATTAAGTCATAAACACATTAAAATCATTAATAAGCAGTTATAACGCGTACATCAAAAGGGGAAAAATAAGATAAGTACCAAGAAAGAGATTTAATAGTACAGATGAATGTGGGCTCGCTATTTGGCAAACAACACGTCATATGTGTTATAACTGCTTATTAATGATTTTAAAGCACTTGAGATCTAATTAATAACCAGTAATGAACAAACTTTAAACCATTACTAAACCCTTTACAAATACAGCAAAAGATTCCAAATTTTTGCCTTTTTATTTTCTTATAATTTTATTTGTTCTAAAAGCAGCACATACATTTTTCCTCACCTCTCTAACAAGCTTCCCTGAAGTCTCTCCATTTTCTCTGCATCCTCCACTGATCTACATCTCCTGTTGGTCAGTGTTAATTCATTTGGAATCTCCTTTTTCTCCTGAAGCACAAACGCATATTTTAGGTTTATTGTATGTTTATGTTTACTCATGTTATCACTTGAAACATTACTCCAGTTTGTTCGTATCTCTTTATACCATTTTGTTATTTGCGTTCTAATCTTTATAATTTCATTTTGTGTGTGAATATCTTCAATATCACTTTAAAAATGTACGTTATTGGACATTTTTGAAATGTCGACAAAAGATAAGACTTACTGCAACAGTTTCAGGTGGCCTTCCACAATCAGTAGTAATGGAGGAAATGTGTTGCCTGCACTCACTGAATGTTTAGAACCATGAGTTCTATATAAAATCATTTCATGCTTAAATAGTTCTTTGCCTGGTGAAATTGTTCTTCAAATTTAGGGAGAATGTGTTGTATGTTGTTCTATATAGAAATCTTGAAAATAGTTCCATAAAGCACCAAAAATGTCAAGCTTGTAACAACAAAAAACACTTTTCGGTGCTATACAGAACTGCTTTTAGGTTTTTTTAAAAAATCCAACAGTATCTCCATCACAGAGTGGAACGATTGAACCAAGCAAAGAACCATTCAAACATTAAAATGATTCATTGAGTTGTCTTTGTTATTCATATAACTACTGCCTTTACTACAGAACCCTTGAGGGGTGTTTAACTGCAGGCAGATAACCATATATTAACGAAGTTTGTCTTACCTGATTGTTTTTCGTTATGAAATGTCCTTTTTTCTTCTGCATGTCCTTCAAGAGTAAAAGGAGGACTTTGGAAAGGCTGAATTCAAACCTGAAGAGGGGGCAGGTGATAATTAGGGTAAAAAGACATTTCTTGATACAGCAGAGGAATTACAAAATGGGATTATCAAACACTTACTTTTATTTTAATTCACTTAGCTAGGTTAGCTAGCTAAGTTATTAAAATCAGTGTAGCTTGTAGCCTCGCCATAGCCTAATGTTTTTTTAGTGAGCAACCAAAAAAAAAAAAACGGTTGAAAAGGTTTCAAGTATTTCTCACTTAAGCTGTGTAAGACTAAAGAAACAAAACAGGATTTGTTTTGTCTAAAAAGTGAAATAACGTTAGCTAACTAGCTAGATTACTTTTCAACTAGCTAAGGCTAATGCATACAGCCTAACCGTTAACGTTAGCTACGGGGCAACAAAAGCATGTTGTTTCGAAACAAGCAGCTTGCCATAGTTAGTGATTAGAAAAAGAAATAACCTTTAAATTTGTTAATAATTTTAGAGCTACTAAATTATGGATTTATGAGACCACTCATCTGGTAACTTGCCTGCATTCGCCTCTATTTTCTACACTAGCTAACCTAGCTACGCTAGCTAGGTTTTACGCGCTGATGGGGTTACCATGGCAACTGAGCAAGCTCCCAGTTTGCCCAAGTGGGATAAAAAAACAAAACTAAATAAATAAATACATAAATAAATAAATAAGCAAACAAATAATTAAAGTATTAAAATAAATAAATAAATCTAACAACTATCAGCTTTGGATTTTTAAAATATGTGTCTACTTTGTAATATTCGTTTCCATACAGGTACATTTGACATATTTGTAAATTTTAAATTTGCCACTATTACACATATTTAATCTACATGTACATATATTTGAACTGATATTGATATATATGTACATGTATATATGGCATATATTTACATATTAAAAATGACACAGGTAAATATAAAGTTATTTAAGATTAAAGTTTAAAAACCATCACATACATTTTTTAATATGATAAAATATATTTGCCACAATATGTGTACATATATTTCCGTTCCATATTGAAACATCATTTATTCGTTATGTTGATAAATGTGAGAATAAGTTTAAAGTTGAGGCAACAAGTGAGAAAAAAATTAACAAAAGTGTTTAAAAAGCATCTTTGGGTGCGTTATGGGAAAAAAAAACGGCAGCAAAGAATAGTTTCTTTATTGTACTGAGCATCAGATCGCTATATTATCTATATAATGAAGTATGAGGCAGTAAGTGAGCTAAAAAACAAACCTAAAAAAACTAAATATATAATAAAACCCCCTCCGGCCGAAGAGGAGTGACGTCACGTTCCCACAATGCACGCGCTCTTGAACTGGAGTGCTGCTGCTGTGTTTAGAGTGGAGGCCTAGAAAAAACTACAAAAAATACAGAAAAACAATCCTAAACTTCTTATTACTGCGCGTTTCTGGCGGATTAAGGCAGGAAGGACTGAAAGACGATGTTAGGTGCGGCTTTCGTGTACATTTGGTGATGTTTTGAGGAGCACAAAGTGGACTTCAGCGGCGCTGCTGTAAAGTTTTGGGGTGAGCGCCAGTCTGGCTTTTTAATGATCAGCTCTTTTAGGCGAAACAAGAAGTGAGATTTAGCAGATTAGTCCATTTATTGTAGCATTTAGACATAACAAAGTTTATTTTCTGCGAATTACTAATTAGAAATGTTGCTACCGTGTGGAGGTCTGACGTTGCCCGAGCAAACTAAACAAAAATAAGTTATTTTTCGTCTTCTTCGGTGATTTCTAGTTGAGAAAAAAATCATTTGCGGATCGACGCTGTACAGATAGACCGCGCTTTGGATGCTTTAGCTCGGTTTGGGCTCTGATTGTGATGGTGTGCTGCTGCTGCATGGTGAAGCGGGCTGATGGAAGCCCTACAGGCTTCTGCTGACTAAGAAAAGAGCAAAGCCTTTCTAAAAAACAGGCATTAATATTACTTATCCACGATTATTTCGTAACAGTTCCTGCGTGTTTGTCTGTATATAAAATATCTCACAAATTACAGATTAACATCTGTCAGGATGCCATTTTTAAGGTTTAAAAATGTGCTAATTTCAGCTCTAATTTGTAGTCATTTCCATACTATTATTGTAAATCAAATATAAAAATATTGGTTATCTAATAAAACAGTCAGCAGTGTCCTAAACTAACAAGCATTTGGTCATCAAATAAAACATCTGAAAAGCAAGGCTTGTACTGCAAGAAAGAACATTACTTCTAGCAAATGATGTAATTTTTGAGTTGAATTAAGTTCCTTTTAAATATTCACTATATTTTATTAGCTTTTATTATCTGTAAGTGAATATATGGGTTAATGCATCTCGATCTTTATTTGTTTTTACTGAAAAATCTTTAAAAATCTTAAGACATTTCGTTTTTATAATTTTTTCTTCTGTAAAGCACAATTGATTTGACACAAATACATGGAAGAAATTACGCAAAAAAATAAAGTGGCATATTTAAGATTGTTCTCTGTAGAGGATGTTTTTATTTTCACTTATTTTCTCTTAGAACATCAGCAGAACACATTATTTGACCAAGGTTTTGCATATGACTGAAAGTTATTATTAAATATATATTGACAACATAAACATCAGCTTTCTGGATTACACAGTAGAACAGTGAGATCTAAACTTTCTTTAAAAACTCAGTTAAATTCATTTTAATTTTCAAAACCTTTCCTTTGCAGTGTTGTTAACAAGTAGTAGCTATTTTAAACCCTAGAAGTACACCCTATAGCAAAAAAATAAATGCATGCACCTAAAAATACATACTTCTATGTATATACTAATCTAACTTACTAGTCTTAGATCTTCATTTATTAACATAAAGATAGGGCTATAATAATTTGCTTCTTCTAAGGGTAAAATGCTTGTACAACAGTTGTTAGATAATTACACAGTTTATAGTGCAGTTGCTCCAATGCTGCTCTTCAGGTTCCAAAAGCAGGTTGTGGCTTAGTTACACAAAGTTTTTGTCTGAATGGAAACTTATTCTTAACTGTCTACTCTATGCAACGACCGCTTATTGTGTCTTTGTGTTTTCGTGTAGGATACTGAATATGTACAAGGACTACCTACCGTCTAAAGAGAAGTTATATATCAGAGTTGGATCTCTGGTATGTGTGAGTTTTGCTATTTCTTAATTTCAGATTTGAATTGGAAATGTCATTGCTGTCATATGAAAGCCTTGTAATTGCTATTCTTTTTGTTTGAGTTCTTGTTTTCTTTTTGACGAGGCAAGCTGCCCCTTACAGTGTGTCACAACAAATGAACCACTTTAAATAAAGTCTTACATTAACCTTAATATTACATTAAAGTTAAGAATGTTTGTCTTTCTCCTGAAAGGCTACCATTTTAGAGTTACAGGGTTTTCTCACGACAGCATTAATATGTTCAGTTGTATGCAGAAGTTTAAACACCCCCTGTCAGATTGTCTTTTGTTGGTTTTCTAAGTGAAAATAAGTTAACAGATCTTCTACAGTGAACAAACTTAAATATGGCATATTTTCTGCAAATTTTAGTGCACAGTTTTTATTCAGTTTGCAGAGTTTCACATAGAACATAAAACATAGTGTGCCATAACTTTTGCACAGGCCACATTTTGTTGTCTTTACAGTATCATACAGTATCAACTAAATTCAGCAAATAAACAGTAATTGTTAAGTCACATTGTTTTATGTAGTTAATTGTGATTCATATGTCTTATTTGCTTAACCAGATTTTTTTCCTTTTATAGAGCAGTTTATTTTGTTTTAGCTTCAGGAGTGGACAAAATAAACTACACTAACCCTTTAAAAGTAATCATTGTATTTCTCCTGTGATGCTAATCCAAATTAGATTAAGTGCCAGTTATTACATTTTAAAAATATTTATGCATTAGCATCAGCAGATACGTATTGGATATCAGCCTCTGCCAACAACTCCCATATCAGCGCATGCCAACTTTGGATGGTTTGGATGGTCAAACTAGGAAACAGCATTTAAAAATCAGTGGCATTAATAATATATCATGTTAACATATTATAACACATTGACTTTGACAGCCCTAGTTAGAGGTGGCAATTTGGCAGTATTAATGTTATCTTGATGCATTTTGTTATTGCTTTTCTGAGCTTATTGTGGGTATTGTCAGTACTTAAAAGACCCTGACCAACTGTGTGTTTCACTGAAAGAGAGCAAAATAGCAAAATTAGTGCTGTTTAATTGGGTTTAGTGCAGTGTGATATGTGAGATTTTTAATAAAAACATTGAGTTTTCATGGCAGGTTTTAAATGTTGTACAAGTAGTGAATTGTCTTTTATAATGTAGTGAGAAATATTTTGTATTGTAATACAATACTTTTTGCCATATCGCCCATTCCTAGCCCTAGTATATAAATACCCAATGGTAGATACCCCATTGAAGCCATGTTATGCACTGACTTTAACTGAAACCTTCTTTGGCTTTTCTTAGATGTGCAGGATATGAGACAATGTTTCATGGGAAGGACCAGCTCAACAGCCACCTACAGACCCATGACTCCAACAAGCAGGAGCTGCAGTGCGAAGAGTGTGGCAAACACTACAACACTCGCCTGGGTCTGAGACGGCATGTGGCCACCCACGCCACCTCGGTCACTGGAGATCTCACCTGTAAAGTGTGCCGTCAGGTTTTTGAGAGCATGCCGACTCTGCTTGAGCACTTGAGCACGCACACTGGACGGCCTCCTCCAGGGGGTGTTGTGCGGGAGCGAAAGCACCAGTGTGAGCGGTGCGGCCGACGCTTCTTCACTCGGAAGGATGTGAGACGCCATGCGGTGGTGCACACGGGCAGAAGAGACTTCTTTTGTCCTCGCTGTGCCCAGCGTTTCGGCAGACGCGACCACCTCACCCGCCACCTGAAGAAAAGCCATGCCCAGGAGCTTGACACCCTCACATCTATGCCTCCTAGTGGCGTGAAAGAAGAGCCAAGCCCCACCATGTGCTCATCTGGATCCCCTAAGGATGCCTCTGAAGCTTTTTCCATGGGCATGTTCAACCCCCAAGGCCTGCAGAGTGCCTCTACCTCAGGGGTCAGTCACCATCATTCTTTAGTGCCTGGCCCCCTGTCCAGCCCAATGGGTGTGGGCTGCTACCTTGAGCCAAGCAAGCACCAGCCACAGCAATACCAAGAAGCTCACAGATACCAGCCCGGCTCCGCTACCTCATATTTGAAGGCCGAGATGGAGAACTTCCTGACAGAGCTCCAGTGTGGGCCCATGCCACCACAAGCTTCGGTTGCAACCTCCGCTTCCAGACCTGGCGATCTTGTCCCAGACGGTCTAGGTAGTCAGAGCGCCCACTTCACCCTCAGGAACTCCGCCTTTGCCACAGCCGAGCCTTCGCCCCCTGCTGCTAACATGGACCTCTCTCATCTCCTAGGCTTCCTGCCCTTTGGCCTGCCACCTTACAGCGCCCCGTTGAGTTCTGGAGGCCTCGTGATGGGATACTCTACCACCACTACAGCCAGCTCCCCAACCTCTACCTCTCAGCTCACTGGGCCACTTACCTCATTTCAGCCGCAGCCACTGCATGAGCCTCAGGCTTCAGGGCATTTAAACCAGCTGTCTGGTTTCTCTCCAACTCTACCTCGATTCCATCAGGCCTTCCAACAGTGACGCTGAGTGGATCCATCATCTTCCGAAACTGATTTCGAAGCTCATTTATATCATTGCCAAACGGCTCGTACACAAAGCAATGTGCTCGTTGGAATTGCTTGATTTGGCCCGTACATTGCAGAGACTGCTTGTATGAATTCTGTAGAATGAGAATACAGTCGTGTCCAAAAATTTGGACACCCCTGGACAAACAGTGTGTTTTGTTGATTTTCTATGTGAAAATAACTTCTACAGAGAACACACGTCTTCACATTATAATGCACAATCTTTGGCAGAATTTAACATACTGGAAAAAAACAAAACATAAAATGTGGGCTGTGCAAAAGTTTTGGCACATTTTATGTGCTTTGTTTTATCTTTATCCAATATGTTAAAGTTAGCAAATAAAGAAAATTGTGTACTAAAATTAGCAGAAAAATGCCATTTTTACATGTTCACGTATTTGCCTTAGAAAATCAACAAAATGTGCAATTTTGACTGGGGGTCTTCAAACTTTTGCATACCTCTGCAAGATGATTTGTGAGAAATTTGCTCTAGTTTGAATAGAGATTGTTTTTAGAATAGTTTTGAATATTAGATTAGATTATCTGTTCCTTAGTAGGTCTTCCCTATATTTGATTGTAGTGATTTATGATTTTATTTAGATCCATTTACAGAGAACTCGACATTGAACGAATCTGAAGAAATACCTCATAATATTTTTTTTTGGGAAAAGAAAAAATATTATCACAGTGTTCTAAATTGTAGAATGAAGCACTTTTTTCCAGTCAGAAGCACTTCATTGACTAAAAGTCAGTTTGAACTGTGGTCTTATTTACATCTCAACTTGCAGCCTTTACACGCCGTACATAACCTACCTCTTTTAGTGGACTCTTCAGGAGAACTATGATACTGACTATAGAAGCGAAACAAATCCCCATATGAAATAGTGTGTGTATAGAGAACATTCATCCAGTGGGGATTTTAGAGTGCCTTTCATTAGTAATGAAAGTAAGTCATGAGAAGATTAGAGTGAGGCGATAGAGAAAATTAGCTCATATTCATATTGTTTTTAGCCTTTAGGTAAATAAGAAAAGGTGCTGTGTTCCACTTGTTGATAATAGATGGAACAACAATTATGAGTGAAGACAATTTTGTTTGTCTTGTTTCCTGTAACTCTTCACTTCTCTCTGTTCATTCCGTTGAGTATTGTAAAGACGAAGATCCAAAAAGCAAAGCGAGGAAGGTTTCGCTGTTTCTGATATGAAGAATAACAGGCCTACTGCAATGTAACATTAACCCGGTGTTCAAATGTGAATGATTGATGTGTTCAAAAAGGAATTCTGAAAGTGATCCGCAAAGATATCGCAATCTTCATATGTCTGCCTTGAGCCCATAATTTAAAGCAATATTTGATGCATTTATTAAGTGATGCTGGGCTACATCTCCATTTTATTGATTTTACCGCACTGTATAAGCAACTGTTACATTTCTCCATAAGGCTAAGATCTATATCTCTACAATGGATTGACATCTGCATTGACAGATATGTACATAAAGAATAATGACATAATGACATACCTGCCTATATCCTCTTTCCATATGACTTGGGACACTGAAATGGAATTCTCCTACAGAGAACATCTACCAATTCTGAAAATTGCTGCATAATTCAATTGTTGAAATGTAAGCAGTCATTTAGAGTGTTTTGATGTGAAATGGTCCACTCAGATTTTTTTTACAGTGGTGGTGATAGGAACCAGGGGTTGCAGTGTACATAATGCAAATAGTAAGATAGCAGTAAATCTGTAAAAATATTTCTTCAAAGACACTTTTGCCTTACAACACCCTGCATTTTCCCCTCCACCATGAATGGAATGGAATTTTAAGCCAAAAAGCTTATCTCAAAACTATCATAAAACTGTGTGTATTCATAATCTTTTCATGTAAAAACTTTTTGTGAGGGAGCTTTTAGAGGCTTTAAACTCTTCAGATGTCTGGTTCCTGTCACCACCACTGGAAACAATTCTCATTCGTCAGGTTTCTCTAGAATGGAGCATTTCACACCAAACCACTAATAGAAGCCTCACCAGTTTAACAAAGTTCACAGTTTTGTGTCCCTTTTTTTTCTCTCACTACAATACCCAGCAAATATCAAACGACATTTGGGAAGCACCCAATTGGCTTCCTAACAGTATATTAGCTATCTGCCTTCCTTCTGCATTAGTCAGCATCTGCATTAGCTTGGGGTGGGGGCATTTCAAACAGCCCACCCTGAAATATCTGCCCCAAAATGCTTGTAGTTTTTCAAAGCGTTCCTCCCACCTTCAAGATACATCATCGGAAGGGGTTTTTAGTTTTTTTGTTTTTTTAGAGATTATTGTGGCACCACTGTAGCAGGCGGGTAGGCAGGTTTGCAATTGAGCAATTGTTAATCTGTGCATTTTGGCCAGAGTGCCCCTTTACGAGTTCATTTTAATTGTTATATTTACTTTATATTTACTACTAGTTTTAACAGCTCTGCCTCCACACTCATTACTTTTTATCCAATGGTAAATAGGCAGTTGTTACTTTCATGAATCGGCGGCCTCTGTGCAGTTACTGTGATGCGGGGTCAGGGCTAGTTCCATTCTACTCCCAAAATCGGACAACTCAGCAGGAGGATTCAGTGAATTCAGCTTGTGTGGTGAAACAAATGGCCCAAGCTGATATGGAATGGAACCCGGCCTTACTATGATGTGTTTGGACTCAGACGTAACTACCTCATAGCTGCACTCTGTGCATGGCTGTACTGTACCTCGCAGTGAGAGAGATTTCTATTTTTATGTGGGTATCTCACTGGAGTAAGATGTTTTACATCTTTAATATGTGCAACATTGGCGCTTGTTGTGTTTCAGTTGGCCTTTTGTTCGGTTTTGTTTTACTAACATTTTGAGGCGGAAAAAAGGTTGAAATCATATAATGTACTGGATGACAGAGAAATAAAGCATCTTCTAGACTTCAGTGTCTCTTGAGCGTTTTTCAACCTTTAGCATCTGTCCACTGGCTTCTATTAAAAGTGTGCTTTGAGTCAGTAGGCTTTCTGTTCTGAAGTACAAGGAAAAGGTGTCAAAATTATTGTCCATAGTAATCAGCTGTAAGCTATAGATGCGGCAGATAGAGATTTGCTTGAAATACTCTGTGTTCCTTTAATGTAAATGGAAACTAGGCTAAAACTTGATCACTTTTAGACACAGTCTGAAGAATCAAGGCACCTTTCATTGGTGGCCGAGCTTGGGAAGTTGGAAAGGGAATTCATTTTAAAGGCCATTGCAAGAGTTTTTAATGTAGTCCTACGGACATAATCACAGATATTGAAGTGGGCAACATTCACATTTCTCAACATGGCAACCTAAATCCTGATGGAGAATCTGCAAACTGAAAAGACTGACACCTGAGGACACTGATTGTTGTGAAAGTGGATTTTTTTTCCCATTCTTGCTTTATATAACACTTAAGCTGCTAAACAGTTAGGGATCTCCATTGTTGTATATTGCACTTCATAATGTGGCACGTTTTCAATGGGAAACAGGTCTGGACAGCATGCAGAGCATCTCTTACTACAAAGCCACGAGACGATGCCAAGCCACACATGCAAAATGTGGCTTGACATTGTCTTGCTGAAAGGATGTCCCTGAAGAAGACATTGTCTAGATGGCAGCATATGTTGTTCCAGATGTTACCCATGCTATTGGCACTAACACACTCCCATACCATGAGAGATTCTGGCTTTTGAACTTTACGCTGATAACAATTGGGACGGACCTTCTCTTATTTGGCATGGAGATCACAACGTCCATTATTTCCAAAAGCAATCTTAAAGTGGACCACAGCACACATTTCCATTTTGTGTCAGTCCATCTCAGATGAGCTTTAGTCCTGGATGTTGTTGATAAATGGCTTCCGCTCTACATGCTGAGTCTTAATTTGCATTTGTAGATACAGCTGTTCACTGACAAGTTTTCTGAAGTATTCCCGTGCCTATCATGGGAATTCCATATTGGTTTTTGGGCTGGCCCTTTACACAGAGAAATCTCTGCATCCCCATGAATCTTTTGATGACATTCTGCACTGTAAAGGGTGAAATACATAAACTCCTTTTAAATGCTAACTGAAGAACATTTTCTTAAACCTTTGACATACATTTTTAGAAAGCAGTGAGCCTCAAGTCATCTTTGTTCATGAATGACTCTGCCTTTCCTGGATGCTCCTTTTAAACTCAGGCATGATTGCATGTTTAAGATGTTTTTTGAAACATTATACAACATTCCTAGTCTTAAACTGTCCCTGTCACAACTTTTTTGGAACTTGTTGCAGGCTTCAGTTTCAGAATGAGAGTATATTTGCCAAAAATAATGGCGATCAAAAAGTAAAACATTAAACATCTTGTCGTTATACTGTTTTTATTTAAATAAAGATCAATTTACAAATCACTACTTTCTGTTTTTAATTACATTTTATGTACTGTCCCAACTTTTTTAATATTTAAAATATATGTTTCTGAAATAAAACCTGTTTCCTTTGGAATACTAATTGGAATACCTAGAATATCCTAGAATACAGTATAATGTACAATACAATAATAGAATTATTAGAATAACAGTGTTTATATTTCATCAAATGTAGATGCACAGCACATGGCTCATCTATGCTGCTCTGTTAAAATGTTTCATATACAATAAATTGTACATATATGGCAGATATTCTTGGACAAAGATTAAGCCTTTTCAGTCTAGGCTAAGGCTTAAATAGGATCCAGGATACTGGCCTGTAATGTTTATTTTCCTTTTGGTTAATTAAGTCCAAAAAGGTAATACTTTGAAAGGGAACTTCATCCATTTTTCAAAAATTCTACATAATTAAATGGTTGACATGTAAACAAAGTCATTCAGAGTGGTTTGGTGTGAAATGCTCCGTTCAAAAGAAACTTACTGAGTCAGAATTGTTCACAGCGGTGGTGACAGGAACCGGATGTCCACCGCTAAAACCTCCCTCACAGAAGGTTATTGCATGAATTGGTTAGATGTTTGTTGCTGGTGTCTGACACATTATTTAGTGATATCTTGTGATACAGTTTTGGCTTAAAATGTATTTTAATCCATTTATTTTAATACATTCAAAACCCCTCAAGGAGGGCTACTGTTAGGGCGTCGAGAGACAAAATAGTCCTAAAAATATATATATTTTTTTTTTCAAATTTATGACTATTTTAGCATCATCAACATTACATAAAAGCTCAGAAGACGCGT